AAATCCAGCCAAAATATCACATGTGTCAGACATTTACATGTTACACGTGATCACGTGTTATACCTTATGACCAATGCCGATTTCTGACATATTAAAAGCTGCATGGCAGGGATATATATTATATGTTATTTTGGTTTTGGAGTGATATCTGTGGATATATTAGTGATATTTTATCTTGGCGGTAATATATCCACATATATCACTCCAAAACCAAAATAATAATTTTATTACCCTTCCCCTGCCGAGTTAAGACGATTTTTTAAAAAATCATTGATGTTTCAAATGAAACGTGGAAATAAGATTCCCTTTAGGATACCTCTTCGTCACAACATGACGTCACATAAATACATGACGTATTTTTCCCGTACCTTACGAAAGTAAACAAGAGAAAAGGAGTAGTCTATTGAACGCACTTTTTTGTAATTAATATCAAGCTTTCACAAGGTCATATTTGTTTTCGATACTGATGGTAATATGTATCATTACTCTACTTTGGTAAATATTGATCATTTGACAGTTAAAAAGTCCTTTTAAATCGGAATTTACACCGCGTAAAATCGAACCGTACGCGCATCACATCAGCGCATGTTGTTTACAACGTTGGGTACCAAACGGGATAATTTAGTGTGTATATTACCCGTCTGGCTCGGTTATATGAACTTATATCAATTTCTTTCGGGTGATCAATATCCAATCAAAAAGGCGGAAAAAATCTGGAAGGGTAATAAATGCATATATTTTCGCATTACGGCATATTAGTTATAAAAACATAAAGTTAACACATATTCATGGCATTTTCGAGAGTATCACATTAGTTATAAAGATTTTGAAAGGCTATACAATATGGCCGTATATAAACGATTGTTTGAAAATATAATACATAAACATACAATTTCTTATTAAATAAACAGCAGTCGTGTATATAAATATAAAAACTTTATAATACTGCATGTTTGTAACGTAATTTTTCATTGGAAAATCGAGACATTTATTTAATTATAGAGATTTTTGGTTTATTTGTAACTTTATTTTCTGATTTTTACACACATGTACAAGTATTATAAAGAATTTCGATAGCTATTAATATTGCGAACAACCGTTTATATACGACCATATAACCTGTTGGATTTATTTATAACGAACTCATAATACATCAAGCATTTTTGTTAGAAAAAAATGAGATAATTTCATAAATCGACAGCAGCCATGTATATAAAAATACATTTTATGTATATAAATGACACGATTATCCAATGAAAAGTGACGTAACAAACGTGCAGTATTATAAACACATACACGCAAAATAAGGAGGTTCAATACAATTATATTCTTTAAATTAAGCATGATTTGTACGAGCGTATATTATTATATAATAATTAATATCGTTTTAAACATCAAATAAACACGTTTCTCAGATGTCAAAGTAACAAAAGGGCTGTACTCAATTGAAAAGTGCGTAAAATATACAAAAATGGTATCGGGCCCACCGCACTGCGTTGCAATCGAATCCACCGCCGTCTGCGACGAAAACATTTTTTCTCATTTATTTTATAATCAGGCAATAATAATTTCCCAATTTTCCAAATTATGGTTAATTTGTTAAAGTATCATTCATTCGATGTGATGCCGATGTATTATGGGGTCGTTTTGCACACATTTGTATGTGTTTTAACCAAAATTAGGCAAAAGTGGCGTCCCCTCATCAAACTGTACAGAAGTGTTTGCATAATCGGCAATGAATTGCACCGTGTGCGTGTAATAGGTCGAAAGAGTATATATGTGGGCTCCAGTCACACTGAGTGCTTCAAGTAAAACATGAAAACATAAAACAAAATTCAGTCATATACTTACCGACAACAGCAAACGGCCATACTTTGTCCACCGCTTCTGCGACGAATACTCCACCGCCGCTGCAATGGACCCACCGCTTCTGCGAAAGCTATGGCCAGTGTGTACCTAGGGCCGTTGTGTACCAATTTATTTTTTTAGAAATACATAACTTACAAGTCTTATGCAAAGTATTGTCGTCTAGAATGTTTAAAACCCCATTTAATGGTATCTTTTTTGTACCATACATGCACTTGATGTGTATTTGTTCTGTTTGATTTTACGGCGCATCAACACAATTGAGGTCATACGGCACCGGAACTGGAAAGATGATTTTGGCTAACCTCGGGTGTTACAAACATAAAGCAACATCAGGGGTAAAAAAACCTCACCTGCTGGAGCTAAGAGATGCATAGACTCCAATAATTCGAACTAATTAAGTCGCCTCGAGTCTGCAATTGAGAAGCTGAAGTATATATATTTCTATCATCAAGTGAAATAAAAATAAACGCCAGAATTTTAACTCATGTCTTAATCTGAATTTTAGCGCCATGTTCTTAAACAAAGTTCTTGAATTATAATATATAATGTCGGTTATCCTAGAATAGATTGACCGCTTTATTACCAGACTACGGTTACTTACCGAAAACTGATATTAAATATAAATTGAGCACTAGTTTTATTTGGGTTGCCATTTCCACTAAGTAAATATGTAGAAATATTGTGCTTCATCTATTTATAAATTATAACCATATTAGTATATGAACTAGAAAGCATATACTCGTTTCTGTTCTGGATTTTAATCTCAATTTGAACATTTGTACTCACGCATGACAGAATTCTCATTGTGTAAAGAACGATCTGATATTTTAAGAGGGCATGGCCAGCCAGGTATTCAATATCTGCCTACATTTGTCACGATTTTCAACCGTTCAATGCTATAGCACAAAGCCTTAAAATTCAGTTTACTACTGAATAAATAAAATGCGCAGTTTGCAATATTCATTATTGTATATTGCGAATTTTTTTTACCTGATAACCCCATACTAGTAAGTCAGCCGATTATAATGACATTCGTAGGTAAAAATAATTGCACAAGATTATGCACGACATCATCATCATCACAACCATCCTCGTTTTTTATACCAATTACTATCAATAAGAGCTATTGCTTTGAGACATCCAACTCTTTTTCATGCCATGTATAATTATAATTATATTCTTTTGGAATACTTGATAAATGACGAAAAAATATGAGATTTTTGTAAATTATTCACACAAATAGGGCGTTTCATATAAGTATCTTCACTGCAGGTGTATTCATCAATATCAGTATTTTCATTTTGAAAGTATATTCATTTAAGGATAATAAATGAATTTAAAAAAAAAAAAATTATACATTGTTTATATAGAAAAGGTTAAGTGTGTTGCCTTTAAACTGAACTTTTTATAAAAATCATATTGTATGCATAGCATTTGATTGTGTCATTTAGGAATTATAAAAACACGAAATATTTTAAAGATTTATGAAAGAAATATAGAAGAATATTTTCTTAAAAGCGAATGTGCATGTATACACGAAACAATTGTTTAACGGTTAAAACCCTCCGGAACATTTTATTCTGTTCATACGTACAATATTCAAGTGTGTTAAATAACACATGTATCAACATTTTTTTTCCAGAATCGAACAAAAGATTATGGAAACAAGTAAATTTTACTGTTGATAAATTTTATAAAAAACATTTCATAAGATATAGCTCTATACCTTTTAATAAAAAGAAAACAAAGCAATAAACAACAACAGTAGATTCATATGTTTTATTCATTAACATAAATAAAACTGTGACAATACAATAAGGTTGACGTTACTGCAAGGTTTTTGTAAAACAATGCCTTTGTCACCCATGATCAGATGTGGTTGTATTTTAAACTTTCTAAACTAATTTTGATTTTGGTTGGGTTTTATGTCGCACCAACACGGCATAGATCATATATGGCAACTTTCCAGCTTTACTGGTGAATGAAGATCACAAGTGCCCCATCCGTGCATTTTTTCAGGCACGGACTGAATAGAACCGCCGACGTATACTGTAAACGAGTTCGATAGCTCCCTCACATGAAAGAATCCAAAGTCCCTGTCGGGATTCGAACCCACATCGCTGAGGGGCAAGTGGTTCTATGACATATACAAATTTGTAAAAGTTTATAGAAATAATAATAATAAAATATTACCACAGCCGAACTTAATATGTAAAAATTGTAAGTACTGGAGTGATTAAGAAAGTATGTGAATGAAAACACCATAATCAAGCATCAATAAAGCTCAAATAAATGCATAAAATGCTGCTTACAGTAAAGAAGAAAGTTTTGAAGAAAACTAACTTTATTCCTTTTGAAGTTCATTATAGTTTGTGCTTCATTTGCGAGTCTTTATTATTATTATTATTATTAATTTATTACTATTATTTTGATAAGTCTTTAATCTAGATTCACCATTTTAAAAGCATCAAAAATAAAACAATTAGTAAGAAATGGAGACTTAAGTTGGTTTAGGATTTTACAGGAGACATTGAATAAATGTATTGTACGACTGACAAGTAAATATTGGCCTATATATCTGTTAAAATGAAACTTATCTTCCTGGTAAAAATGTAAGTACTGAATCAGTGCTTAAAAAAGTGCCAGAAATCAACAGAAAGCACTCATAAATTATAAAAAGAATGCATAAAATGCCTGTTTACAGTAAAGAAGAAAGTTTTGAAGAAAAACGCATTTGATACTTTTTGAAGTAGATATCCTAAATGACTTTTACTAGTACAACTAATTAAATGTTGCTTTTAAGCCGCACCTTGTAGTTAAACGCTTTACCCATATTGTGTAAGACATTTTTGGTTGTTTTAACATACAGGATCGTAAAGTAGATTAAAAAACGAGAGTTAAAATATATGCCGAGTGCAGAAGCAGTCTTTTCTTTTTATCATTATATTAACATTATTTTATAATTTAACTCATTCTATAGAAATTTACTGAAGCAGAACTGTGTTTGTTTTCAAATATGGTGTGCTAAAATGTAGGACTATCATGTAATTCCAAAATCAAACATCACGCAGTAATGAATCACATAGATCTATACAATTGTCGAAATCTACTTCTTAAACTTTCATGACTTCTTTAGAGGGTCAAATATTTATTTTCTTCACAAAGGAGGTCGATCTGAAATTTCCGATGGGCTAGGGCGTTGCCATCGTTGGAGGTAACCTGTATATAAGTGGTAAGGGAGAGTGTAAGCGGCACTTCATTGCAAGGAAAGCTGGAATAAAGGTAAAAACATTTTCATTAACATTTTATAATTACATGTATATTGTATTATTCGTAGTTTTTATACAATTTACTCAGTAATATTTAATACAGCATATCTTTGTTTGAAGAAAAGGAAATGATTAAATCAATAATCGCAAAAGCAATATTCTTATTTAATATAGATTGTTTTAAGATATTCTTAATGTAGAAATGCTATATTCTGAATTTTTTGTGTGTGCAGAATTCCGATATTCAATATTTTAATATTTTCAATTTTTACACTAATTTTGACTGTCATTTTTGTGGCAGAAAGGATTTTGCTAATCCAAATCAAATGCAAACGGAAAAATCTACATTTAGTGAATCTTGCAAAATTGATCAAATTAATACAATGTAGGTAACATTTGTTCAGCGAAATTCATACAATAAATTTGTCATCCAATTTAAGAAACTTCAGCTTTTTCTTTTCTTTTTTTTTTGTATGAATATTTTCATGAATGTTTGTGGTGGATGAGAATAAATCATCGCAATGATTGATAAAAAGAAAAAGAAAAAAAAATACAATTATTCATACAAAAGAATAAGCAGAAGTTCTTTATGGTTGATAAGCTAATTATAATTAATTAATTAACGTTTTATTTATATTTCGTATCATTCTTGGTTTCAATTATCCGTTTAATTTTTTTTGTGTCGACGAAAAGCTACTGGAATACTTGTTACATTTCCAGTTAACATTTTTTTCCATTGATATAACTGCGTAATTTGCAAATGCAATGTCATATTGTCATTATAAAAATAAAAAACTTTAAACTTCTTTAAAAAAAAAAAAAAAAAAAAAACAAAAAACTTTAGACAAAAGAGAACTTGATTAACCATGCATCTTTCTTCAAATCCTTCAAAAACGCTTTAATCGATCTAGAAAATATTCATTAACAAACTCTTTTCTTCTAAAAATATGCATTTGTGAATATTATGTCTTGTCTCATCTCTCGTTGCCAATGCTAATCTTCTGGAATGGACTGAGATTGGTTCCGATTATACTGTATTTGAGAATTTGATATTTTGTTTAAAAAATGGTTAAACAGAAATATGTTGCGAGATACAAAAAAAAATCAGAATAAAAAATGACATTTTTGGTGAAGAAGTTAAATAAGCATAACAAAGTGTTCCAACTTTTGCAAGGGTTTAAAAATAGGTACATGTACTACTATTTTTGAACTTTCCAATAGTCACGAACTTGTCCGAACGGGCTTCATGTTTGCTTTACTTTAGGCTTATTTGTATATGGGCTTAATATATGAATATTCTATTGGGTAGCTATAACTCAAAAGCAAACAGTATTAAAACTTTGAATAAACGGTATACTGGTAATTATCCATATTCAAATAGCATACCTTTTGACATTCATAAATTAACGTTAAAAAATACAGAAAATGAAATATTATAATAAACATAACAATATTATTTAGATTCATGCATCTTTGTTATTTAAGATGCATCGTATTATTATTGTTCTTTATATATTTATTAATAAGACTGTTGCAAGTTTGTTGGTTTTTTTGTTTTCATTTCTTCTTTAGAAAGATTAGACTTCCTGTGCGGTTTGTAATTGTTTGTTGCCATCAGCTGTTTAGTGACACTGCATTATAATCTCCCCCTCCCTAGCACCGGTAGAATCATTTGTCAAAGTTTCAAAGCTGGATAAAGGATAGTTTTGTATCATTTTAAAAGAACCATGAAATAAAATAAAACATTGAAATAAGTCGCCTTTACTGATTTTGTAAACTGTAAAAAAGGTTTATCCTTTTTCTCTCCAATTCCAGACAATACAAAATCAGAATGCTGACTGCTGCTGTTCTCGTTGGCCTGTTGGCCTATGTAAGCGCTCACGGTAATAACAACATGATGGGCAACATGGGCAACATGGGCAATATGATGAACGGCAATTTCGGATATGGCAATATGGGACAGATGGGCCAGATGGGACACATGGGCAATATGGGCAATATGGGACAAAACCAAATGAACAACAATGGAATGAATCAGCTGGTATATCATATAACTAATTATTCAAGTATCATTGCAATTGCTATAATTCATATATTTTGCTCTCCAAATTAATGTGTTAAAATATAAAGTGTTCTTATAGCAAAATAACCTAACTATCATTTAATGATATCAACTTACCAAATATTTTCTTCTTTCTCTCTATTTTACTTTATTTTTTCTGAAATTGTCCTATGTACACGTATTGACTTTACAGAGATTAATCTTCATTTTCAGTGGAACCTTATCTCTGGAAACATGGGTGGACACATGGGCGGAAACATGGGTGGACAAATGGGCGGAAACATGGGTGGAAACATGGGTATGGGTGGAAACATGGGCGGTAGAGGAGGTCAGCAACAAGGCATGATGGGTGGAATGATGCTTCTTCTTCTCCAGAATCTTCTGTAAGTACTAGTATAATATACATGCGAAGGGTATTGAAGTAGTCTTACTATAGTATGATTGTAAGTAAAAGTCATTTTCTTAAATTGTGTCTTTTAAAAAAGAAGCTTTATATGGCCCTTTAAAGCCTCATTTTGATATCTTTAACCATATAATCTTAGTTATGAAAAAGACATAGATCTACTGTAAACTTCACTTATATAACAACATCGCTTATAACGATGAAGATGCTTTTCTCGAATCTCTTTTGATCGAACAAAGAAAACAAGTTGTTCATTTTGTCTAACAGTGGAAACCAAGGTAACAGAGGCCGTCAAGGAGGAGACCATATGAATGAAGAAGAAATGGAAGCTGTTGAAGAGATGATGAAGAAAAAGATGATGATGGAGATGGCTGAGATGATGATGGTACACATGGAATACAAGGTGGGCTTAAATACCAACATTATGTACCTGTAGCATATACTCGTATAAACTATAATAAGTGAATTTATGATTCTGAAAAAAGTGGGTTGTTTTTTATTCCAGTAGGTACGCCGTGCCTTTCTTAGAGCTATAATAAAGACGACAAAACTCATAACCTTTGCGCCTGTAACTGCTTGTATATACATGTGAGTTAACTTAAACAAATGGGCGAGTTCAAAATTAAATCGAATATCTAGAAATTTAATACCTCTTTTTTGAATTCAAGTACATGTATGTATTTACTTAATGCATTGCTTAATCATTGCTTAATTATTTTCTATAGGAAAAGGAAAAGGAATTCGGTGAGGCCATGGAGGCTTTGTGTTTCATGGTGAATGCTACATACTATGGCTATAAAAAGAACGGAACAGAAATTTGGAAAGTAATGTTATTTCATAATATATAATTTTCCTTCTTTCTATTTTTGCCATTAACCGGTATTCTGGGCATAGTACAGCTCCTTGTAAGGGCTAGTGCTGGCTTTTTATCATTTCATATTCTATTCCAGTTCCATAATTTTGTTTAATTAAGTTAAATGACCAAAAAATGGGAAGAACATTTGTTCAACCGATGCATTGATGCCATTCATGGTTATAAGGGTATAAAATGTCATACATGATTTCAGAAGTATTGACAATGTAATAAAAACCATAACTACTTTCACGATATTTCTATTTCATTTCTGTACCACAAACTCCTTCTGTATTGAGAACGCGTACATATGACCTGATTCAATAATATATGATGCTACGCCATGATGTTTTTGACTTCTTGCAAGATCAATATATACTGATCTTCAAATAATACATTATACAAATATATCTAAACTTAAAATATGTTCAATCATATTCAGGAAACAACCGATGCTAGTATGATGGAGCTAGGTCAACAGTTAATGGGTATGGATGATAAAGAAAAAATGGACTTCGCCGTCGATATGATGATGAATAATGAGGACAAATATGCAGAAGTCTTCATGAGGTAAAACGCTTTGTTTTAAACTTAGTTGTGGCTTCTGAAACTTTTAATATTTTTGTTTTCCATCATTAAAACTTCATGTCATAACATTTTAACGGGTAAGCTGAAGACCTAGCTTAAGCCACATTTGTATTTTATACTAACCATATACAAGGTTTAATCCGTGATGTTGAGTACGAATGAGCCATTGCATGTAACCAGCTGTGAGTGATATAGCTTTGCAAATCTTTAAGTATCAATTTCCACGACTACATTTGTATTTAAATTTACATAAAATATAATAGTCAGGTTTTGTTTTTACGGCTTAGCTTCTATTTCTCGAGTCAAATAGTAACCCACTAAAATTGTAAACAAGAAAAATATTACATACATTCGTATGTAATATAGGTACGATTGCATACTACTTTTTGTTGTAATGTAAAATGAACAAACATGTCATGAGATATTTTATATCTTTTAACATTTTCAGGGAATGTAATTAATGTATCACCATATTAAAGTTGCATGCCTTCAGATGAGAAAAATGATTTCAAGGAAATCAAAATATGAAAAGAAAATTCACGGTCAATTGACTGCTTTGAAGCATAATCACAAAATAAAATTACAGGAAATTAAAAACCTTTTTAATACACTTAAACCATCACGTTACCAATACACATGTAGGTGTGAACTAATTTCGTGTTCATTAAAATTATTCCGTTAAAAGACAAATAACAATATTATTTACAAATGAATTGATAAAACAACAATCCCAGAAGCATTTAAGATAATAACAATCATTGGAAAAAAATAAATGCATATAAATTGTAAATTTGTGTATGACAACTCACCCCCTAAACAAAACATAATAGACTCAACCAAAACAAGCGCCTGCTTCTTCACCTACCTATGTAGTTGCATGACCATGATTAGCAATTTAGCGAACCAAATCTAAGAGATAAACCTATATTGTAAAAATAATACTATGACCACAGCAGATTTCGTACAGATTTTTTTTTTTATTTTTACTTCTTGATTAGATAGATTTACATTTGTATATCATATCTTTTTTTTGTAATATCTGAAAAAAAAGGGTTAAAAATGAATTATCTAGATGAATCCTCTCATATCTCGATGCTCGGGATAAAACATTTCTTACTTCTAAACTTGGAAGAAATAAATATTTTAGACGCTATTATTGCATGTACCAAAATTTTACATTGATATAGTATGTTAACATTTTCAAAAAAATAAAAAAGATATAAGTTGTTTATTTGGGAAAGTTATGAAGCATAGAATAGTTGAACATTAGGTAACACACGTCTCAACGAAAAAAATAAGATAACATTTATGTACTTCAATTGTTTTTTTTTTTCTCTTCAGATTTGCCACATGGGCTTGCATGACCGGTGATGCTTACGTTCAAGCCGCAAGAAAGATGGAGAAAATGGAAAAGGGTGATTCATGCGATCGTGATTAGACTTTTATTGAAATATCAGAAAATATTCTTTGAATATAAATGAAAATTACGTTTCATATTGTAAACAATATACTGAATTTAGAAAAGAACATGTTATTGAATATATATTATCAAGTCGGAAAAAAAACGTATTTAAGTACAAAATTAAATTTTAATTTTATGCATGTGTATAAATTTGTAAAACTTTGAAATAAACTAGAAACGTTAAATGTGTTATTTTATTACTTTTGTGACTGAAATGAAAATGTATGGACTTATTTTCAATTAAAATTCAATTCAAGAAACATTTGTTGAATACGGTATCTAGAAAATTACAATGAAGGTATTGCTTGTACAAACAAGGAACCGCATACATTTCTTCTATTATTCAATATATAATCAGTTCAATAAAAACAAACGCTTTTCTTAAGCTTTCGACGTTTAGTCAGAAATTTTTTTTTCTATTATTCAAATAATAAATGAATAAAATATAACATAATATTGAAAACTTATAAAAATGATATTATAATAATTTAGAAAATAAAACTTGCAAAAAATGTACTAAGACTTGAAGAATAGTAAAAGTATTAATCATTTAAGTGATAATTTGCACGTTTTGTACAATTAATGACTGATTATCACCACAGTTCTACTGTGTGACTAATGCTGTAAGGGTTATCTTTGCATATTTTAATCTGTTTTATGGTAATTCATTAAGTTATTTCTTGCATATTTAAAGTAACGTTAATTAGGAGCTGATTTTAATCAGATTGATTGCTTTCTTTACTTCCTTCAAGATATTTTACTTTTAAATGTGTTTTCAAGCAAATTAATTATTGTAAACTAGTATATGAATCTGGATCGAGGTTAAAAGGGCTTGCATTTTGAAAAGTCCCAACAACATACAAAACTTTCAGAAAGTATTTTGATATCGAATTTTCGTTTCAAAATTTTATCAAAGAATCATAATCTTGTCATAAACTTCAATTTTACAACAATTGCAAAACTATCCAGCTGTATCAAAGAAACAAATCACATATAGGGCTATAAGAAGGACATGTTGACTATTTGACAAATGTATAATCATGTATACATGTACAAATGTATTATCCTGCATGGAAGCAACTAATATGTCACGTTGTGATATCACAATGGTCTTGTCACAAAACATTAGTCATGTCATTTAGAATAATAGCCCTAAGATGAACTTTGTTCTTTGAATTAAGGTGTCCTAAAGATAAAACTTTAATTAAAGGACAACATCTTAACACCCTCTTAGTCAAGATATTTTGATAATCCAAAGCTAGATTCTAATTGTTGACCTCGGTCTAGGTAGAGAGGAGATATACATACAAAATAGCACAGTATCTCAACACGAACAACAATAAGTTGGATTATTTTAAATAGATCTATGCACATTTGACTGTAAAGATTCATTTTCCCCGCGTCTATCCGTTTTCAAATTGTTTGTCCGTCTGTACGTCCACTGGCCTCCACTACCCTTTTAATGACACCCCTCCTAAATCATTCACTCAATGTTGTCAAAACTTCACACGACACAGGAATGCTCCTTGTCGAAACTCTTATGTCAAAGTTTTTCACAAAAGTTCACTAGATAGAAGACATTTTCGAAATTTATACAGTAATGCAGTAGATCTAGCTATAGTACAGTACATGTACACTGTTAGATAGTCAATGTATGCGGGGGTGTCATAAAATGTAAGCTAGTTAATTCAACAGACCTATATGCAATATAAATCTCTGATTATTCTGCTATTTTTTGTAGGAATATAATATTGTAGGCCCCTATGATTAAAGTAATTTACAAGGACACTTCGCCATGCTTGCCGACAACGATATTCACAAATTATTATTCGTCTAATGTGTTCAGTTAGCGCCATATTTGACAAGCTCGGTTACAGTTTTTTTCAGAACTTTTATAACAGATTTTAGATAGCTTAGTGGTGTTGTATTACAAGACAAGGTATGCAAATAAAAAATCTTGACCAGATTGTAAAATATGCTTCATACGTTTAGCTTACCAAAATATACTAGATTTATAAAATGGTTATAAACAGATCAACACTGATGGTCTCGGCCCAGTGAATTTTCGTACTCTTTGTTCTATAGTAAATCAGTCACATTTGACAGTTTGAGGCTTAATTCTGGATTCCACTGTTCTTGTTGAATTAAATACTATCTTCACCTTTGAACATCAACACTATCTAAGTCAAATGATGGCCGAAATATAATGTGTTACCCATCTACTTCGAAGGGACCCGGCACAGTGTTGGGGATAGTGTAAAAAAGTAATTCTAGAAAAAAAAATATACTTTATATATAATATATAGACAAGGGGGTGAACTCGCCAAATCGGCCGAATGCCCCTAGTCCAGTATAAGTCAAAATTGCAGTCATTCTTGCGTAAATCATATAAAGCTATATATCAAATTGCAGCTAAATGACATCACTAGACGTTGACAATAACATTACTGTCCCCACTTAAACCGTTTTTGAACAACAAACCGATATTTTGGATGAAACATCGTATTTTTGCTAGGTCGGACACAACCGTGCAACCTGTCAACACTCGATTTTCTACGTGTAAAAACGCAATTCCAAACCATGACATTATACCAACCCGCAAAAAATCGATAATACAAAACAAAAGAAGCAACTTACCGCCGGAAATTGATTTTTAAAATGTTTTATAGCGTCTGTAAACAACTAATTCCTGAATGTTTGAACAGTTTGAACAGTTTATTGAAAATGCTTGGCCTCATAGAGGCATCAGTCACATATACAATAATATATACATATAGTATGACATATAAAGAGATATCCACGAAATATGCTGATGTATTACATGGCAAATATAAATAAAAAATGAAAGTGTTACATTATGAAAATAAGCTTAGTTATCAGTTACTTAAATGCTGAAATAATTTTTTTATAGAATACTGCAAGTTTTAACAATATACTCCTATCTGTGCTATTCATTACAGGGCCTTTTCACTAGTTTTGGGGAAGGCGCCCTAGCCCTTTTTGTGGGGAAAAATGCGTGATTTTCACACTTTTGGGGAAAATATCTTATTTTCACACATTTTAGAGGAATATCATAATTTATTTGCATATCTTCCTCCAATCACATGTAAGGTTTACTTTAGTACTAAGCTTTCTGTCCAACAGATGTAAAAGACATTTTTTACAGATCAATTTATTGCCCCTTTATATTAACTCATATTTCCTATTTATAGTATTTTACATTGGTCATGTGAGGGTTCTTGGTTTGATTCAGAGGGTACATTATTATCAGTTTACACTGTATTGCGTTATTGAATTATTAGCTTTCATTGGACAAAACAATTATCTATTTTTAAACAAGAAAGTTTGTTTACAAGTTTTATTCTTCAGTTAAAGGGGAAATATTTGCCAGAAGGGGAATTTTAGACTGTTTTTTGGGGAAAAAAGGTAGTAATTTGGCTTGGGGAAGTAGCCTGATACAGGCTACAGCAAAGATGGGTAAAAAGGCCCTGCATTAACATAGAAAACTTGATTGAATTAACATTAGTACTATACTCTCTAGTAATATATTTTTTTCTATCAGTATTAAAGAATTGACAATTAAATAAATAATGATATTCATCACCAAGTGAGCTATTATTGCATAAATTACACACTCTTAATTCTCTTGGTATATTACAAAATCTATGTGAAAATGAAAGTTGTAATCAGCATCCATTGGCTATCACGTGACCAATTTGAAACGGATTATTTCATTGGTAGATTAAAATACAAAGCATTGCTGGGTCACAGTATCGTCCAATCAAACGACGTCTTACAACCGTTGCCGAGTATGTATCATGGCTTCAAAAAAATATTTTAACGGAAGAGAAATAAAAAGAAATGAATGTTTGCTATAATTGATTGGTTTTGGAACAATTTCCAGCGGTAAGTTGTTTATTTTGTTTTGTTTTATCGATTTATTGCGGGTTGGTATAATGACATGGTTTGGAATTGCGTTTTTACACGTAGAAAATCGAGTGGGGACAGGTTGCACGGTTGTGTCCGACCTAGCAAAAATACGATGTTTCATCCGAAATATCGGTTTGTTGTTCAAAAACGGTTTAAGTGGGGACAGTAATGTTATTGTCAACGTCTAGTGATGTCATTTAGCTGCAATTTGATATATAGCTTTATATGATTTACGCAAGAATGACTTTGCAATTTTGACTTATACTGGACTGGGGGCATTCGGCCGATTTGGCGAGTTCAACCCCTTGTCTATATATTATATATACAGTTTATATTTTTTTTTAGAATTACTTTTTTACACTATCCCAACACTGTGCTGGGTCCCTGTGATCTACTTTTTTTCAGAAATCTTCATTCTGTTGTAACACTGTTTAAATTAACCACTTAAAAAACTCCTGACAAGTGGTGGGTAGTACATCTTTAATCCTTCCGCCAACAAATGAGGTCCTAGAGAATACACAAAAAAGACGACTTTAAAAGTCACCATATAACACAAAAAACTACACAGATGCAGTAAATACACTTTAATTATGACCAATCAAGCTAGATATTACTTAAATTGGACCACTTAAAATTTATAGGAACAACACTTTCTAGACTAAACAACGGGTCTCCAATGTCTAATTCCGTACCGGGTTGAGACCTGATAAAACAGGACTCGTGCTGTCGTATAAACAGGTATTGACTGATAGAAGCTGGAAAAAAGATTACATGTATATTTTAAAGATATACATGTATACTACAGATATACTAGTAGTGTTTTTCAGAAACAAAAATCTTAAACAAAACAATGCAGCCATAATAAATTGCACAGTGTTTTTTTATTTCACTTGGGGGAAGGGGTCGTGCCCACTTTGGAGGGGAAAATGAAATAGGAGTGGGAATTTTATTTGTTTATTTACTTTATATTGTTTTCTTTTCGGTAGAAAAGTGGAGCAACTCTTGCAACACAAGTATAAAATACGTCGCTTTTTCTTAATATACGGATATGAAATATAGAAGCTTTCTTCCATTAGCCATGTAAAGCGAGTAATTTATTGGGAACCAACTTTGTTTATGTTCCGTTTTCGATTGTCAAATGACAAGTTTCTTATCGTATTTTTAATGTTCATGCATCATATAGCATGAAAAACAAGTACACAGCACGTGTGTTTGTTTGGACCAACAATAAATAAGTCGCTTTCACTTTATAACTTTATTGACGGCATGTTCGTTGTTGTTGTTGTTGGTTACATACTACTAAATTTCTAAAGGTCAGACTCATCTATTTAGATATGAACACGACATTCCTCCCTACCTTGAATTAAAGTCATACCACATGAGGAACATCAACAATGATAATGTCTCTAGTATTCAACACAGTTATTCAATTATTGTCTATGGTGTTAAGCACATATTTATATCCATTGGTTAGTTATCAAACATATAAAATGGTTACAAAATGTCACTGAAATTACACATATCATTTTCTTACGTGAAATACTTCAAACACTACTGTCTTAAATGGTCATAAACTTACTTGCTGTTGAACCAATAATACAATGAAATCATAATATTTTAAATGTTACAAACAAACAGAATCAACTATCTAAAGATATTCAGTAATTCAGTAATATACCTAATAGAATATTCATTGTTTGACCTTAAAATAAGAAAAACATTAAAGGTTTATACTTGAAAGTTATATCCATCAGAATACTAAATTGGGAATATAACCACAGCTTTGTATTCAATAAACAATTAAGAGAACTTTACTTGAATAATCATGAAAAGAATTAACTATTATCAAAAATGAACTTTGATTAAATTTATGCAAATGTTACTTAATGATTAACATTAAGAGAAAACAACAATTTTAAAAATCTTGAAACTACTTAAAGGCTCATTTAGGTTTACTCATCACATAGTCTTTCATCTTCTGAGGCAAGACAGAACGAGTAGAGCGAGGAGGATTTCTCCTTGGAGTGACAGGTACAAGAGTTATATCAGGAGCAGAAGGGAGACTAGATTCAGGACTAGATACTAATTCAGGAGCAGCAGGGATACTAGATTCTGGACTAGAGGCTTGAGGGGCTTCATATTCCTCTTCATCCTCCAGCATCACTGCATTTTTGATTGGCCTAAAAAATGAAGAGTTTCGGGTTAAACAACGGCCATCCCGCTCTGCAGTTACCATACTACCCTTTTTCTCAATTACAGTGTAAGGATCTGGATCAAACGGTGGGGTAAGTTTATTTAGCTTTGGCTGTTTTGCCAGGACATGATTTCCAGGTTTGAGACTAGACTCCGACGTGTGTCGTCTTTGGTCAGCATAGGCCTTCATCTTGGTTTTACTCATAGCATCATTGTTTACTATGCTATCAGAGACTGGGGCTTGATCAGACTTGGGAATATCTGGGAGACCAAAACTCATTTTTCTACCGGTTAGAGCTTCAAACGGAGAAATTTTGGTTGATGAGTGGGGTGTTGCCCTATATTGCATAAGAAATTGATTAAGTTCAGACTTCCAATTTCTATTTCCTGACACGCAAACTCTAACAAACTTGTTCAAAGTGCCCATAAACCGTTCCACATTACCGTTCGCTTCCGGCCACAGCGGAGTGATACGGCGATGTTTGAAACCACAAGCATTGGCAAAGTCTGCGAACTCCTGACTTTGAAAAGGCGGACCATTATCAGATTTCAAGACTTTTGGGAACCCTTGACGTGCAAATATGCCTTGAAGTCTGGGAATTACAACCTTTGCCGATGTGGAATGTACAATCTCAACTTCGGGATATCTGCTATGTTCATCAACAACTACTAGGATGTACTGACCAGATGGATATGGACCAGAAAAAATCAACAGCCAATTCAGACCAAGGGCTAGAAGGCAGAACAGTGGGACATATAGGTTCTCTCTTGTTATGTCCAGGATATGATGCTTGACATGGAATACAGCTTTTCACAGCCTCCTCAACCATTTTGTCAATAGAAGGAAACCAGACTTTTTCCCGGAGGAGCTGCTTCGTCTTGACTATGCCTTGGTGGGCCTGATGAGCAATATCAACAACCCTGTCTTGTAATTGGGCTGGAATGACCAAACGATGATCTCTTAAAATAACACCATCATAGATTGAGAGCTCGTCTCGGAAGCGAACATACGGAATTAGAGTAGATCATTCCACCAATCGCCAGTCTGAATGGCAGACATCACATTCTGCAAAGTAGGACATTTGCGTGAAGCAGCACGGACTTCGTCAAAAGTCAGTGACTTAGGCACAGCGTTATGACTGATGTATGCAACATAAGCTTCAGCAGCGTTATCGCGCTTAGGCTTATCATGTGGATGTCGACTCATATAGTCGGCTGGATTCAACTCATCTCGGCCTGGTCGGTATTCGAGTTTGAACTGATATGGCATCAATCGAAGTCGCCAACGTTCCATTCTGGCAGAAGCAGGTTTCTTACTGTCAATTATACCAAGAAGCGGCTTGTGGTCCGAAACCACCTTGAACTCAGAAGCAAACAGGTATAAATGGAAGTGTTCAACTCCGTAAACAACAGCCAGCATTTCCCGATCAGTCTGGGAGTATCTCTGCTCCACGTCGGTCAATGCCCGACTAGCATAACTAACAACTTTCCCATCTTGGGTAAGAATTGCGGATACACCAACGGGGGAAGCATCAACTAGAACTTCAGTGGGTTTATCAGGATTAAAATACACCATGACTTCGGTACTTGCCAGACAAGCTTTCAGCTTGTTGAATGCTTCGTCTTCCCTTTCTGACCAGCACCACAGCACATCTTGACGTGTAAGGCGCCTGAGAGGTTCGGTCAGTGTTGCATAGCGGGGTATAAATCTAGAGAAATACTGGGTCATACCAAGAAATGATCTAATCTCAGCAACATTAGATGGTGGTGAGCGGCCTATTATGTCCTTGATTTTCTGAGGGTCTGCAGAAACACCAAGACTACTGAAAACATGGCCAAAGAAAGTGATTTTATTAACAGAAAAGACACATTTGTCTTTGTTCAATTTGGCCCCTGAACTGCGAAGTTTCTCTAATGTCTGCATGAGCGCACGGTCATGGTCTGTTTGCGTCTTACCATGTATGATAATATCATCTGACAAGTTTCTTGCACCTTGAATACCTGAAATCAAATCAGAAATAACTTTCTGAAAAATCTCTGAGGCAGCGTTTACCCCAAATAACAGACGTTTATAACGACGTAGACCAACATGGGTACTAAATGTTGTGATGTAACGAGAGGGCTCTGAAAGGACAAGCTGATGATAGCCATTAGAGAGGTCAAGTTTGCTAAAAACTGTAGAGGAATTGAGCTCAGTCATTAAGTCTTCAATGGTAGGCATGGGATGCTTTTCTCTAAGAATAGCCCGATTAGCCTGGCGCATATCAATGCAAACCCTAACTCCAGAAGACTTTTTAGGGACAACAACTACCTGACTGACCCACGGTGTAGGACCAGAAACTGGCTCAATCACATCAAGGTCCTCCAGACTCTTGAGCTCTTTCTCCACATCTTTACGTATGTGGAAAGGTATTCTACGGTGAGGTTGAGAAACTGGCTGCACCGTCTCATCAATGTGTAACTTGACTTCTACGCCTTTGATCCTCCCCATAGCACCATCAAACAGCTCTGGAAACTGACCTGCAATCTTACTAACAAAATTATTGCTGGGCATAGAGACAGAAGAAGCATATGTAAAGTGGATAATACCAAGACTTTGAGCAGTAGAAGAGCTTAGCAGACATTTAGAGTGCCTCGTTTCAATAAAGTCTACTACATAAATTTCAGTTTTTACAGTTTTATCTTTGAATTTAATTGTGCCAGTAAAGTATCCCAAGCAGGGTAGCGATACCTTTGAACCATACGGAAAAATGTTTGGAACAGGGTGACATAACACTGGTTTCTTGAAAAATTTGTTGTACACATCAAGATTAATAATGTTGCAAGTAGAACCAGTATCTACAAGAAAATTCACATCAATATTAAAAACCTTAGCATTAACACATGGTGAGCTAGCATTTGACATATTAACATTGAAAATGAAATTGTCATCATCATAATAATCATTATCTGAACTCTCATCGTTGTTTACATTATTCACACTAACACTGGGTTTGTCATTGTCTGTAAAATTCACATGTTGACCTTCTTTGGAAATTCGTAGACGACATTCCCTAGCAAAATGATTCGGTTTGTTACAGTATCTACAAGTCTTTCCTTTTGCAGGACAAATTTTGTGATTGGTAAGCGAATTGCCACAGTTTCCACATTTAGAATTTCCACTGCTAGAGTGTCCCCGAAGACGTGAGCGAGAACCCCTACGAGAAGTAAAGCCACGCCTAGATCCACGAGAGTGACCCCTACCACGGACTTGTCCCATGGACATTGCGTTAACTGCCGGTTTACCCTCCATTTCTGAAGCACGAACTTCACTGAGTTCCAACGCACGGGCCTCGTCAATTATTTTGTTTAAGTCATAGTTGTCCCGTAAGGCCCGCCTTCTGAGCCTGGATGATGTGCATCCTTGAACGATCTGGTTTAGGATTTCTGTATCCTTGTTATGAAAGTCACACAAACTTGCTTGTGTTCGTAACCGAGCGTAAAAATTGTCAATGGTCTCACCAGATTCCTGCCTGATTTGTCAAAACTTGTACACTTCAAATGTAACATTCTTCTTTGGAGTGTAATAATCAGTTAATGTTTTTTTCAGCGTTTCATATTCACATGACTCGGTGACCTCTGGATCTGCACTTACGACCCTTGTTGCACCAATCCCCTTTTGTGCGTCAGTGAAACTGTCATATATGTCATACGTTTCCTCACCACAATAATGCAAGAGCAGTGCCTTTTTGCGCTTATCGTCACTGATGTCCATAGCGCACATTAGATTTTCCAATTTTTGAAGCCATTTTCGAAATTTGACGGCAGCATCCGGTGCACATCCGGCCTGAAATTGCTCGAAATTTGGTAACGCAGTAGCCATTTTGAAGACAGTTTATTATCCTCGTCGCCAGATTTAATGTTCATGCATCATATAGCATGAAAAACAAGTACACAGCACGTGTGTTTGTTTGGATTCACAATAAAATAAGTCGCTTTCACTTTATAACTTTATTGACGGCATGTTCGTTGTTGTTGTTGTTGGTTACATACTACTAAATTTCTAAAGGTCAGACTCATCTATTTAGATATGAACACGACAGTATTAACCGTGAAAAATGATTTTAATGTACAGCAGGGAATAACAATAAAATAAATTATGACACAAGACTTGTATTGGATTTCCCTTTGTTTCCTTTATTTACCTTCAGCATTAAAGATAAGAAAAAAATCCATCAAAATTTGAAAAATTTATTTGGGCTAATAAAGTTGGTTTCGGGGGAGTAACTTCTCAAATGTTACTGGCCCAAATGGCCAGTAACTTCAAAATGTTAATTTTGAAGACTGCTATTATTTAATAATGGAAGGCATTGCATAACAAGTTGCGTAACACGTGACATTTTTTTCCTGAAACCATGTTGGAAGTGGTAAAGGATGTTATGGTTGGTGAAGTGTTTAACAATGGAAGAGGAAACTTTGTGTTCCATAGTGGTAAATGACCTGGTCACCGCAGTATATGAGAAAGAACAAGTAGATCTTTTTTCTTTTAGATTTCAGTAAGGCTTTTGACAAGGTCAGTCATGAGAAAGTACTGCTGATACATGACTATGGAATCAGAGGTCAAACTCTAAAATAGGTTAAAAGTTTTCAAGATAACAGGGAGCAGTCTGTTGTGCTAAATGGCAGCTGCTCTAACCCCATCCCAGTATCCTCTGGTGTCCCCCATAGCTCTGTTCTAGGACCCCTTCTGTTTTTTGCCTATATTAATGACCTCTCACAAAACGTAAATTCCCAGGTCCGCTTGTTTGCAGACGACAGTGCAATATAAATTTAGCGCGGAGGAAGGTAGTCTAGGACTGGTGTAACTCTCCAGGAACGATGGTTAGGAAACTACCCGCCTATATGACTGAAATACTGTTGGGAAAAGGCGTAAAATGAAACAAACAAACAATACACATTTCTCTGACATCTGCAAACCAATCAGTCACCCTCCAAACCCTCCAAAAGACCTAAATCAGTTAGAAAAGTTGGAATTGGAGCGGGATATGGAATTTAACCCCTCCAAGTGTCAAGTTATCCACGTCGCAAAAAGGAAACATCCTATCCCAACACAATACTACCTCCATCGAGTCTAATTAGAATAGGTTACCTCAGCTAAATACCTAGACGTGGATATATCAGAAAACCTCATGTGGGATGCCCATATAGACAGGACATCTAAGAAAGCAAACCAAGCCTTAGGATTCCTACAAAGAAACATAAAGGTTAAATCCCAATCCATTGAGTTCATTGCTTACCAGACATTAGTCAGACCCCAGCTTGAATATGGTTCCGAAGTATGGTTTCCCTACACCAAAACACAAATAGATCAGATCGAAAATGTCCAAAGAAGAGCAGCCCGTTGGATTAAGCTTGATTATCTATCTATCTTCTGTTAATGTCTAACCCTTCGCGGGGACGAAGACATGACTCTAGAATAGTCACTTATAGACAGCTATGAGATACAAGGGAAATCCGGGAACCAGGCCCTAGCTCTTATTGAATAGACCATTTGGTTCTTTTACATGCCCAGTGTATAGCACTGATACATGCGAGGATTACCTGGATTTCTTACCAGTACACCTCAAGTTAGGTAGGAAACACTGAGAGTGTCTCTGAAAAATCCCAAGGGTTTCTCAGGTTGGAACCCAGGACCTCATGAGTGACAGCCAGTGGTCTATCCAACTGAGCTATCGCGTCAATTATGGTCAGACCTATAGCGTCACTGACATGCTTCACTCCCTTAAGCTTAGAAAACTGGAACTGAGACGTGTAGATGCTAGGTTATCCCTTTTCTATAAGATTCACCATGGTCTGGTTGCTATCCCCACAGAAGAATATTTGACATCCCTCTCTCGAACATCATGCCATGGCCATCCCTTATATTATAGGTTATTCACAGCAACTCCAGACTGCTTTAAGTTTTCATTCTTTCCTAGGACGGTATCCCACTGGAACCCTGCAGTAGCCCTAGGCCCTACCCCAGAGCAGTTCAGTGCAGCCATAGTTTGCATCGAAAATGTCTCACCCTAGCATTCTGTAGCAATAGAATAAGGGTCCATGGCCCTCTATTATACTATTTAACAGAAGAAAATAACAAAAGAAATGGCCCCTTTGTCCATTTAAATGGAACGTCCATCCGTCTGTGCATCCACCGAACTGTAACTTTGTCATACATTGAGGGATTTAGAAATAACTTGGCAAAAATGTCTACCACATCAAGTCAATGTGTCGCGTTCAAGAACCTACCTCAAAGGTCTAGGTCACACTATCATTTTGAAGTTTAAAATTATCACAATTAGAGTTAATAGGTACACACATTCGATGATTCGTGTCCAGACAGTAATTTTGTCATGCATCAAATGCTTTTTAAATAATTAGGGATAAATGTCTACCACATCAAGACAATGTGTTGTGTCCAAGAATTACGTCCCTTCCTCAAAGGTCAAGGTCACACTAACATTTTGAAGTTTCATATTATCACAATTAAAATTAATAGGTACACACAATTATGTCCGGGGTGTAACTTTGTCATGCATGATGCATCGAAGGATTTTAGAATTACTTGGCATAAATGTCCACCACATAGAGACAATGTGTCGGGTTTAAAAGTCATGTCCCTTCATCAAAGGTCAAGGTCACACTAACATTTTGAAGTTTCACTTATCAAAATAAGAGTTTATAGGTACACACATTTGTGTCCGGACTGTAACTGTCATGCATGGAAGGATTTTAGAATAACTTGGCATAAGTGTCTACCACATCCAAACAATGTGTCACGTCCAATAATCATGTCCTTACCTCAAACGTCAAGGTCACACTACTATTTTGAAGTTTCACTTTATCACAATTAGAGTTTATAGGTACACACGTTTGTATCCGGATTGTAGCTTTGTCATGCATCAAAGGATTTTAAAATAACTAGGCAAAATATCTACCACATCAAGACGATGTGTCACGGCTTAGGCTCATGTCCGTCTGTCTGTCCCCACTTACACAACAATCATGTCCAGACTGTAACTTTGTCCTGCATTGAAATAACTATGAATAACATGACAATATTGTGTCGTGTCCAAGAAGTCCCTTTTCAAACTTACATTCTGAAGGTTCACGCTATCATATTCTGAAGGTTCACGCGATCACAATAAGAGATTATACATACACACATTTGTGTTCGGACAATAACTTTGTCATGCATCAAAGGATTTTGAAATAACTTGGCACAAATGTCTACCACATCAAGATGACGTGTTGTGTGTAAGACCCATGTTCCAACCAGGAAGGGTTTGTACAGTCTTAAAAGGTGCTTAAATTTGAGTCCCTTTCTTAAAAAGTGCTTCAAAATGTAAAAAGTGCTTAAAAGTCCTTGAATTTGATTACTCTTTTGAAAACTGCTTCAAAAGTGCTTAAATTTGCTAAAAATGTGCTTGAAAATGATTGAATGACATTGTAGATAAAAGTCAAAATCAAAAGAATAATCCAATTTAGCATCAAAATCAATGAAATTGTTTGCTCAATGTAATAGTAAGTGGACTAATTGCAGTTGTTTTGAACTAATTTGTTTTTGATGCGCCCTTTGTTATTCTTCTATAATAATCTTAAGATTGTGGCCAGAAAAATTCAACAAAAATGGCAAATAAACTATCCTTCTTAGGATGAAGATTGTGTTGATATATGTGCAACAAATGTACTTGAAAAATGGGAAAACATGCTGAAATAGTGCTGCAGAATTCCTTGAATTTTGGCATTAGATGTCTGTACGAATCCTGCAAGGACAAGGTCACACTAATAGTTTGAAGGTACTTATGCTCATAAGAAGATAGAAGGTACACATTAGTTTCCAAACTGTAACATTGTCATGCATTGAAGGATTTTAAAATAACTTGGCATAAATGTCTACCACATTATGATGTTGTGTCACATCCAAGACCCTTGTCCTAAAGTGTTAAGTTTGCTATAAATAGCACTTTATTTCACAAGAACAATATTAAGCAATTAGTTACTTTCATTCTCTTTTCTTTTCATAATACCTGCATGCTTAAGAAACCTTTTTGGGGGCATTTGTCACTTGTGTGACAGCTCTTGTCTGTATCTGTCAAGCCCTTTTGTTTCCTTTGAGAATCTAGTTTTAAAAAAGAAGCATTTGATAATTAATAAAACAAATATATTTGTCAAATCAAACCATTCAAATATTCAAGGTTACATTTTGTCAAGTCTGTGATTATGTTTGTATATTTTAGATCTCCAATAAAAGAGTTACAAGCAGCTAAAACCGGAGCATCTCTACCAGGACTTGGTGGTGAAGAGAAGGACTTACACAAGTATTTCAGCATCTGGCACAATCATTCTATCATCTATCATCTGGTATGTCTGAAATTATAAGTTTTTTTGTGCCCCCACTTTGGGGGGGGGGGCATTTAGATTTACCCTTGTTCGAAGTATTAAGGCTTCATAAATTAAATCAGTTGCAGAATAGAAGTTATGTTAAGTATGGATTTTATCACCTCATATTTAGTGGTAATTTTTTTATGGTGCATTAAATCGGGTTAAAGATTGTCTGCAGGCGGATTTAATTTATGCTGGCCAGTTGCTAATTACAATTTTTGACACCTTCGCTCAGGAAGCCACAGGGATAAACAATTAATCTTTTAATTGATCTAAATTATTGCCGATAATTGTTATAATACTGCACGTTTGTAACGTCGCTTTTCATTGGATAATCGTGACGTTTATATAGTTTTATATACACGGCTGTTGTCGATTCATAAAGAAATCTTACTTTCTCTAAAAAATGATGTTTGCTGTATTATAAATTCGTTATAAAGATTGTTGACAGGTTATATGGCCGTATATAAACAGCTGTTTGCAATATAACCCTCGCAAAGCAGCTCGTTATATTTACAAACAGCCGTTTATAACCTGTCAACAATCTTTATAACTAATAATATTTTGGACTTACCAAACAAGTTATTGGTTGTTAGGAATGATAACTTTTGTACTATTCTTACTATAGTTCTTACTATTTACTTCTTGAAATCATACAAATGGATTATAAATATTTCTAATTTATAGTTAAGTAAGTCCAAAGCTTAATTAATAATACCTTTATATAAATTTGATGCACACATTTAAATGCATCCAGATTTGGAGGACATAATGTATTCACTGTAGTCTGTATGTCAGTCTGTTGTTTTTAACAAAATTTTTAAATTGACCATAATAAAGAAGTCCTTTCACCTGCATTTCCGTCAATCATGTAGGTTGATGTCAGATATACTAGAGGTTGAAGGTAAAGGTCACCAAGGTCAAGGACCCACAAGGGGCATTGCTTTCATAAGAACATAACAGATTGTTGTTAGGAAGGGCTTTTAGAGGAAACTGATATGGTCATATAGTTTTTGGCCGGGTTGCACAGGTGCAAACCCAGGTTACTGGGATCCTACATATTACCGGACAAAATATGATGTTTTTTCGCTGTAACTTTTATTTTAAATAATAAAAAAGAATGAAATTTTACCCAAATAATTGTTGGTTCCTAATATAGGTAAACTTTCCTTTATCAAACATTAAACATTTGACTGTAGAAATGTGTCTTTAAAGAAGGGCATTAAAAGGGGAAAAAAATCGTGTAGACAACTCAATTTACTGGACATTGTGTTTCAAAATTTTTTGAAGTCTTAAATTGAAATTAAGCAAGGAAACTACAACTATTGAATGGCAATGTTAACATACTAGAAAACCCCAGTATGTCACTAAAACATGCTTGTTACGAAGAGGCCAATATAGGGGTGTAACTGAAATTAACACTTTTAACTCAATTAACATATTGATTCTTCATGATCCTTATACGTATGACACATTTTGATATTTAAATGGAATTCTGTTCTTTCTCATACAGTTTCCTTTTGGTCATAATGTAGCATGTTGCTAAAGCCATAAACTCTATTTTTGTGTCGCCTCTACGGAGAAGTGACGACATATAGGGATCACTTCTCCGTCGTCTATCTGTCCGTCCATCCATCACAAAACTTGTCCGGACTACTTCTCATAAACTACTGGTGCAATTTCATCCAAACTTTACAGGAATGATCAGTATCAAGTCTAGTTGTGCATATTCAGGGTTCGTACAGTCTTAAAAAGTGCTTAAATTTGAGTTTCTTTCTTAAAAAGTGCTTAAAAATGTAAAAAAGTGCTTAAAAGTCCTTGAATTTGATTACTCTCTTGAAAAGTGCTTAAAAAGTGCTTAAATTTGCTAAAAATGTGCTTGAAAATGTTTGAATCACAGAATGACATAGTTTTGATAAAAATCAACGGTTAACAAAATAAAAAAAAGATCCAATTTAGTATCAAAATCAATGAAATGTTTACTCAAGGTAACAGTAAGTGGACAAATTGCAGTTGTTTTGAACTAATCTGTACTTGATGCACCCTTAGTTGTTCTTCTATAATGTTAGAAAATGTGTATTTAACAAAAAATGGTGAACAAACTATCCATCATAGGTTGAAGATTGTGTCGGTATATGTGCAACAAATGTGCTTAAAAATGGGAAAACGTGCTTAAATAGTGCTTAAAAAGTCCTTGAATTTTGGCATTGGATGTCTGTACGAACCCTGAATTATTGTCAGCATTTTCCGGTTCAATGATTTTTGTCAGAGTTATGACCCTTTAATAATTTTTATTTTTAAAGTTTGTCTGGACTACTTCTCTTATACCACTAATGCAATTTCAATGAAACTTTACAGGATTGATCTGTAGCTCAAGTCCTTGCGCATATTTCACGGGTTTTCCGGTTGAATGATTTTTGGCCGAGTTATGGACCTTTGATAAATAAGTGTTTTTTTCTGTGTGTTGCCAGGTCCGGACTACTCCTTATAAACTACTGGTGCAATTTTATCCAAACTTTACAGGAATGATCAGTACCAAGTATAGGTGTGCACTGTCCGTCTGTCACAAAACTTTTCCCAACATGAAATTGGCCATCATGAGGCGACACATGTGATCACTGATCGCTCTTGTTTGTACATTTCATTTAGATTTTCCTACCATGGGCGTAACCCATTTCCTTATATGTTTTTTAATTTGCATTTCTTTGTAAAAGACAACAATTAGATATTGTTTGAACAAAATTTAAAATTACTTTTTATTATTAAAATATGTTACGATTGTCTCCTGAGGTAACGTTGAGAAGAATTAAAAGTAAAACCTATCTAAAATAACCCATTAAGGGCCTCAATATCTGGGAATGCGCAGAACAGATTATTTTGTCCGGTAAACTGATTGTCCGGTAAGCATGTAGGATCCCAGTATAGTATGGTGCATGTTGGGTGGGGAAAAAAATTTCGTAACAGTTTTCTCAGCAGCTACTTATCACAGCCTCTTGATATTTGGCATACAGCATAAACATGTTGTCCCATACAGTGGGATTCAATTTCAGGTCTGTCGCTTATCCACTTCCTGTTTGCTGACTTAGTTAAATTTTTGACATTAATGGTCAATGGTAGGAAATTTTCGTAACAGTTTTTTCAGCAACTACTTACCACAGCCTCTTGATATGTGGTTCACAGCATTGACATGTTGTCCCATATTGTTGGGTTCCATTTCAGGTCTGTTGCTCATATACTTACGGTTCACCGACAGTTAAATTTTCAACATCAATGGTCATTGGTAGAAAATTTAAGTAACATCACAGCCTCACGGTATTTTGTATACATATGCAACACGGCCTTTTCTGTCTTTGACCCATTTTTCCAATTTCAGATATTTTTAGAAGATGTCTAACCTAACATTCAAGATAGGGCCAGCTGCCAAACATTCACTGAGAAAAACAAGTCCTTACGCCATATTGTTATTGGAAATTTCATCTGGTCTGACATCTGAGGACTTGGCCAGCCTTAAACTTGCTATACAAGCTGATAAACTTGCCCCTAGACGTGAAGTTTGTCACCTTAAACATGGGGCTGATGTAATAGCATTGTTTGACAAGAGATCACTGATTTCAAGAACGTGCACAGATTTTCTAGAAAATCTTTTGATAAAAATCGGACGAAAAGATCTTCAGAAGAAGATAATAAAATATCATGAACACAGGATAAAAGATGTTTCTGATGGTATGTATGAATGTACCATTTTGTAAAAAAAAAGATATTGAATGAGTGTAAGTTTAATTCTGAATTTATTGAACAAGTTGAATAAATTAATATTATGAAAGCCTTTGGCGAGCATAATATTATTTTATTGAAAGAGTTAATTAATATTCTATTTATCTCATATCAAAAATAAAGACAGTTTGAAGTAAAAAGAACTATTTTTCATTGACACACCTATAATATAATGCTAACATTTAGCGAGTCTTGAGCCTATGTTTATAATAATGAAAATGACGTCACATCACAGTATATGCCAGGCTGTGTCATAAAAGCGGCACGTGTGTGTGATAAAGATACAAATGAATTAGTGGTTGAAGTTTATGCTTGTTTTGTAAATGATACATTAACTAGCTGTTAAGACACTACAATTACTACAGTTAAACTGGAAAGCACAAATCTATCTATTTTATCCCCATCCCATCGTGTGACTGTCCAATCCCATATCTCGTCTCATCCCATTCCTATTCTGTTCTATGTTATTCTCATCTGTCGTTCTGTAAAAAGACAGAGGTACTTGTGTGACAAGGAGAGCAATAGGTTACGGTACATTTTTTGTTGATCCTATTCATTTCGTTTTTCTTGTGTGTCCTTTGTGACTAAAAAAGACTTAAAAGATCAAAGAAAAATCACATAAGTACTGTATCATTTGGTAAGTCCACAGTTTGTCTGTCTGAACATATATTTGGATACTTGTGTGGATAGGAGGACAATACATAACTGTATATTCTATTCATACAGTCTCTTATGTGGCAATAATTTTCTTTTTAGTGGCTAAAAGAACAATGGAGAGAACAATAGCATGGCAGAACAATAGCATGGCCACATAAGTATCAATTTATTAGAACATCTCTCCATCCGTCAGTCGGTCTATCCATCAATCCATCCATCCATCCATTACAGTAACTTCAGTACTAACTAACAAACTATCCATCACACATTCTGTTGAGTATGAGTTTTGTACAGATAACATAAATGTCTTAAAATTGGCTCCCCCCCCAAAAAAAAACAAAGAAAAAACAACAAAAAACATTGTATTTTTTTCCCCATTAATGTGAAAGAGAAAAAATTTAGTTTGATATGTTAGGCTGTACTGTACTGTACATAAGGCTACAATACTTTCACTTATACTGTACATTAGGCTACAATACTTTCACTTATACTGTACATTAGGCTACAATACTTTCAGCTATACTGTACATTAGGTTACATTACTTTCAGTTATACTGTACATTAGGCTACAATACTTTCAGTTATACTGTACATTAGGTTACAATACTTTCAGTTATACTGTACTTTAGGCTACAATACTTTCAGTTATACTGTACATTAGGCTACAATACTTTCAGTTTAACTGTACATTAGGCTACAATACTTCCACTTATACTGTACATTAGGCTACAATACTTTCAGTTATACTGTACATTAGGCTACAATACTTTCACTTATACTGTACATAAGGCTACAATACTTTCAGTTAAACTGTACATTAGGTTACAATACTTTCAGTTATACTGTACATTAGGCTACAATACTTTCAGTTATACTGTACATTAGGCTACAATACTTTCACTTATACTGTACATTAGGCTACAATACTTTCAGTTATACTAACTGTACATTAGGTTACAATATTTTCAGTTATACTGTACATTAGGCTACAATACTTTCAGTTATACTGTACATTAGGCTACAATACTTTCACTTATACTGTATATTAGGCTACAATACTTTCAGTTATACTGTACATTAGGCTACAATACTTTCAGTTATACTGTACATAAGGCTACAATACTTTCAGTTTTACTGTACATAAGGTTACAATACTTTCAGTTATACTGTACATTAGACTACAATACTTTCACTTATACTGTACATTAGGCTACAATACTTTCACTTATACTGTACATAAGGCTACAATACTTTCAGTTATACTGTACATTAGGCTACAATACTTTCAGTTATACTGTACATTAGGCTACAATACTTTCAGTTATACTGTACATTAGGCTACAATACTTTTCAGTTATACTGTACATTAAGCTACAATACTTTCAGTTATACTGTACATTAGGCTACAATACTTTCAGTTATACTGTACATTAGGCTACAATACTTTCAGTTATACTGTACATTAGGCTACAATACTTTCAGTTATACTGTACATTAGGCTACAATACTTTCAGTTATACTGTACATAAGGCTACAATACTTTCAGTTTTACTGTACATTAGGCTACAATACTTTCACTTATACTGTACATAAGGCTACAATACTTTCAGTTTAACTGTACATTAGGCTACAATGCTTTCACTTATACTGTACATTAGGCTACAATACTTTCAGTTATACTGTACATTAGGCTACAATACTTTTGATAATTTGTATTTGATTAATGCAGAATCAATAAGAATAAGAATTTTTTAATTGGTTGCTTTAGGTTTAATTACTTTTCAAAACCTTTTGAAAAAAAAACAAAACGGATTTTACTATTATTAATATTTCTATATAATTTTGATTATTTTCCTCCAAATTAAAACCTTTAAAAACTTTGTCTGTTTTCTTTCCATCTTCTGACTTTCCTGTTGGTTGATGTTTATGTAGTGTATAATGACTGTTTATATACATATTTAACTTTATTTGGTTTCAAGAAATTTAATACAATCTTCACAAAACCACTTTTGTTTAGCGAAGAAATTAAACAGGTTTGTATAAAAAAATTTCTGTATGATATATAGATAAAGAAAATATCAATAAGAAGATAGGCACACAGTTTACTCAGTTGAAATCAACCAGTGACCAACTTCGAGAGGAAATGAAATACTTGTCAATTGAGACGTCTGTGAAAGAAGTCTTTGATCCATCAGCAAGGTAAGAAAGCCTTTAAACCCATTACCGCATGAGCATACTGTGAAAAATGGCTGTTAGTATTGAAAAGCCTCCTGTTACAAGTTCAAATTGCTATGAAACTTCAATACTGATGAAACTTGGCACAAATGTTGAATGGACCATAGCCCTGTTATGGCATGCTCAATCTTTAATTTCCTGTTACCATTGCAATGAGGGGATGTTTCAAAACTGCCAAAAATCACTAGTTTGCATTGATTTTTCCATCAAAACTGATTTCAAATTGCTGCAACAATTCATTGGATTGAGATAGAGTCATAGCCTTTCAGTGTCAGTTACATGTTAGGTTAAGATGGACCTGAGGCCATTTTTGGCCACTCACAAGTCCAAAATTTTCTTATGGATGAGGGAAGCTGCAGCACCCCTTCAAACCCCCCTATCAGAAGGGGGCACATCCCCCCTCTGGCACCCCCCTGATGTATTTTTAGCTCGACTATTCGATAAGAATAAGTAGAGCTATTGTAGTCACCCGAGCGTCGGCGTCAACGTAACCACTTATGTTACAGTTTTTTAATATTTTTAAAATTTTCAAGTCAATTAATATTTTAAATTTCCAAGGGGTTCACCATCATGCCCCCCAACCTGTGACGGGGGAGGTAAGTCTATCAAGCATTTTGACGAATTATGCCCTTTTCGACTTAAGATTTTAACGTTAAAAAAAGTTTAATTGGTTACTAGTTTAATATTTTCAAAGTCCTATTGACATATGGCTTTTGAATATTGCAATAACTTGTTCAAAAACCATCATGTCTCTCCACACTTCTGTAGATGTAGTGAAGACTGTTAATCTATTTAACATTTTGGTTCAGAATTAATCTCCCACCTTTTGTTACGAAAATTAAACGGTTTGTTAAAAATTTTGTAATATCAAATATTTTCAAAAGGTGCACACAGTTTACACATTTATCCCGGACCAACTTCGAAAATTGAAATACTTGTTCAACAGACGTCTTGACACAACATTGATAAAAAGGAGAAAGCCTTTAACCCTTACCGCATGCATATGTTGAAAAAGGGCCTTTTATTGAAAGTACGTTAAATTTAAATTGTAAAACCCTTCAAATATTTTAAAACTTGGACATAAGGCTTTTGAAGCATGTAATCTTTAATTCTCTTCCAAAAGGCGCTTTAAAAGTGCCAATATGGATTTGAAAAAAAATTTTTGCCATTCTTGGATTAGAAAATTTTACCTTTTAAATGCACAGGCTTTTTGGCTATCAAAGAATTTAAGAAAGCTCAGCCTTCCCCCTTGGGGCCTCCCCCGGCCCCCCTTCTTGTTAGCTAACCTGTCACAAAGGTGAGCTTTTGTGATCGCTCTTCGTCTGGCGTCCATCCGGCGTCCGTCAATAAACTTTTACTTTAAATGACATCATAAACCAATAAGCCTATTTCATCCAAACTTCACAGGAATAATCTTTTCGTGGTCACCTTTAATAATTGTTCAAAGAATTTAATTTCATGCAGAACTCTGGTTGCCATGGCAACCGAAAGAAAAAACTTTAAATATCTTCTTTTAAAAAACCCAAATAGCTAGAGCTTAGATATTTGGCATGAAACATCTTCTAGTGAGTGTCTACCAAGTTTGTTCAAATAAAATCCCTAGGGTCAAAATTGGCCACACCACAGGGAGTCATTGATTTTGCCTATATGCATATAGTAAATAACTTAAAATATCTTCTTTTAGAGAACCCAAAGAGCTAGAGCTAAGATATTTAGCATGAAACATCTTCCAATGAGTGTCTACCAAGTTTGTTCAAATAAAAGCCCTGTGGTCAAAATTGGCCTCGCCCCGGGAATCATTGATTTTCCTTTTATGTGTATAGCAAAAACTTAAAAAATCCACTTTGAAAAAACCCAATTAGCTAGAGTTTAGATATTAAGCATGAAACATCTTCTAGTGAGTGTCTACAACGTTTGTTCAAATAAAAGCCCTTGGGTTGAAATTGACCCTGCCGGGGGGGGGGGGGGGAAGGAGAAAGGTCATTGTTTTTCATTATATGTGTGTAGTGAAAAGTCTTCCAAGTTTGTTCAAATGAAAGCCGGGGTTTAAACTGGCCCCGCTTCGGGGGCCTTTATACAGGTGAGCGACCTTAGGGCCCTCTTGTTTTATTGGGGCGGTGCCGAAATTTAACAACATTTCTCAAAGGAAAACAAGTGTTTGAGGTCTTAATTGACCTTTACTAGCAGTGTAAATTGGGTGAGCAATCTAGGGCCATCATGGCTCTCTTGTTGTATTTTGTGAATTCATATTGTCTCTTCAATATTCAAAGTAAAGCAAATCAAATACACACATCCAGTATGGTTAATATATTAAATCTCTGTTCAATAATTAAATAGCTTTGGTCTGATGTTGAAATTGCCTATTTTGCTTGAAATATTAACTGATGGGTTTTTGACAGAAGTTAAAGAGAGGTAAAAAGTAATCTCAAAAAGTAAGCGTTCATGAATAGTCAATACTTTAGATATATTTGCATACTAGCATTGACCTATGTAAATATATAAAGCATAGAGTATTTGCTTCATATATATAACAATCAAATAATACAGCCTTGACCTAAATAGAAATATAAGTACCTTTTATATAACTTTAATTTATTTATATATAAAAAAAAATCGAGGGATGTAAATATATCACATTAAAACCCGTCATAATTTTTTTTCACATAAAGCTGAAGTATCAGTGATCACTTTGAGTGTATTTTTGTAATATAAAACAAACTAAGATCAAATGTTTATGGTGAATTGTACCTCATATCTAATTTAAGGTCAGGACCAGAGGGATCATCACATTGTTCAACGGTGTGTGAAACCAGTGATGCTCAGGCAATCCCGGAGGCCATAGAGTCGAGACAGGGGTTTAACTCCTCACCAATGTCTGTAGACAGTAGCCAGGGCAACTGCACAGATGAAGAAAAGATTGGTCACCTTGGTGATAAAGTATGGCTGTTTGAGAACGATGCTATAATGTCCTCACAATAAGTGTCTACCAGGCATTTTTGCCTGTTGTTCCGGGTCATTTTTCAGTTATTTGTTAAAGACGTTTTCTGAAGTTTTCATATATACATATAGGCAAAATCAAAACTGTTCTATAGAGTTTCTTTAAACTTGGCATTTTGTTAGAATATGATAACAGAAACATTTTAAGTGGGAAAAAAAATTGGGGGCACCGTTCTTGTTTTTGAGTTATCTGCCCCTGAATCAGAATTTTCTACTTATTTGAGGTCATTTAAAGGGCAGATAACTTATACATACGTAAATGAATTCTTGTTTTTATACCCCCCACAAAATGTGGGGATGGGGGGGGGGCTGTAATGGATTCGCTTTATCGCGTTGGTCGGTCGGTCCGTCTCCATTATCTTGTCAGCTCTAAAAATCCTATATACCAATTGAATGATTTTTTTTTTCAAACTTGGCTCAAATGTTCACCTCAACAAGGGGATGTGCAGAACCCATGTTGCCCATGTGTCAGATCAAGGTCAAGGTCACAATTGAAGGTCAAATATCAAACAATCAAATATTAGACAGTATGTCGTGTCAGCTCTGTAAGTCCTACACTAATTGAAAATTTTTCTTCAAACTTGTCTCAAATGTTCACCTCAACAAGGGGATGTGCAGAATCCATGTTGCCCATGTGTCTGCTCAAGGTCAAGGTCACAATTGAAGGTCAAATATCAAACAATCAAATATTACACAGTATGTCATGTCTGCTCTGTAAGTCCTACACTAATTAAGGTCAAGGTCACACTTGAATGTAAAAAATTGACTTAGAAAATATTCTTAAATTTTAACATGTATTTTAATGTTTCTGAAACTAGCACAGGTATTTGCTTGAAACTTAAAAGATATATGAGGTGTCACAAGTAAAACTTAAAAGATATATGAGGTGTCACAAGTAAGATATGCAGGTAAAGTTTCATGACAAAGTTTTGCCCCTTTTTAAGTCTTTAAATTTACATACAATCAATACTAGACAATATGTTGTGTCCGCTCTAAATTGTGCCAGCTTAAGGTCAAGGCCACACTTGAAGGTCAAAAATTGACTTAGAAAATGTTCTAAAATTTTAACATGTACTTGAATATTTTTCTTTTTATTGTTGAATACAATACATAATTACATGCAATTCCATTTATCGCTTCAGTTAATTTTTTTCAATGAAAATAAAGGTACTTTAAATTCATAAAAAATAAGCCAAATTTTCAAGAAAAAAATGCACAGGTTAAGAGAAGAAGTGGAAAAACCTATCCACTCTTAATTTGTTCTTGAAATTTTGCATATTGAACACGATGAAGGTAAGCTTCATGAAACTAGGAAGAAAAAAAATGTATTGTTTAGCTTCATTGTAAATTATCTGCCCTTGAATTTAACAAAAAAGTCCAATTCAAGGGCAGATAACTCAAAAAATGAGAACGGTGACCACAAATTTTTTCCGTTAAAATGTTTCTGTGAATGGTTTTAATTTTGCCTATATGTCTATATTAAAACTCCTGAAAATAATTGAATAAGTATTGATTGAAATATAGTGCCTATTTTCCTTGAAAGGAAAAAAATGTTGTTTATATAATGCATGTTTTGATTGGAGAGTTGAATAATTAGGAAATCACACAGTCCAATTGTTGTCACTACAAATTTAAAGTGGCCACTTTTGAGATAAAAGTATAATAGTTGTGTATGAGATTCAATGCAGCAGTATTAAGTAAAGTTATGATACATACTTTTTTGTTTCATCACACAGTTTATTTAAGTCTTATGTTCAAGTTTATTGGAATGATGAAAATTAAACAGTTACTGACAAAGGAATTGTGAACATAGCATGTTACTTATGTTTATTGATGACTTTTTCATGTATTTAATTACATCTTAAATGATCCAGTTTGAAAATAACTTTTGTGTTATAATACGCCTGAAATTTTTTGAGGTGTACATGTATTATGTTATGCTGTTCAGTTTTTTTATGTGAAACTACAAAGTTTAGAGCTTAGATATTTGGCATGTAGCATCAATTTGTAGATTTCTACAAAGGTTATATAAATAATCGTGACTCTCTGGTCAAAATTGGCCCTGCCCCGGGAGTCACTTGCCTCATGTAGACTTAGGTATAGGAAAACACATCATATCTTTTTAATGATAGAAATACTATGCTTCTTTATTAGGCATATAGCATTGAGTAGTAGAATTCTATTATTCTTTAATGAGACATGCACTTAGTCTCCATCTTGGAGGTCATATAGTATCATAAGGATATTTATGATAAAACATTTTTAGAAAAGTTTCCTGATAAGGTCTCTACCCTAATTGAAAGATTACTTCTTATTACTCTGACAAATTTACATTTGGGCATGTATTGCACTGCCTTTGCCGTGCATTTGTTGTTTTTTTTGCAGGCTATGGTGAACATTCTAAATATATTGTTTGTGCATAAGTCTGTATGTTGATGAAAATGTGTCACAAGTGGTGGTTGTATTTTAATGTTCACTGATAAAAAAAATGGGACAAACAGTTTTGGTTTGTCTTTCATTACACTTATAACAAATCTCATAGGGTCTTCATTTATTTATTCAGGTCAAGGTCATTTAGGCTAGAAATAGTTTTTTTTGTTTGTTTGTTTTTTGGTCATGTAATGATTATTATTTTAGATATTTACTATATAGTTGTGCATGAATATTTGCCATTTGGTGAATTTTGAAGTTAATTGTGTCAAGGTCTCACAGGCAAAATAATAAATACTTTCCTTAATTGTTAAGTATTGTCATATCAGTGTTAGAATGTCATCGGGGAGCAGTCACTGGTGTCAATTTTTTTTTTTTTTCACAAAGTGTTCAACCACAAAAGTGTTCAAAATCGCTTTAATATCAAAATGATCTCATCAGAATTTACATGGACATTGAGTATCATTATTTTGTATCACCCACCTGTGTTATTGTGGAAAAAAAAAAAGAAATTTATTTTTGTGAATTTGAAGGTAAGTGTACAGGCATGTGTAATTTTAATGATGCATTTAGAATGTTCAGATGGTTTTTGTTTCTTTATTGTCTTTTTCTTCTTCACAGTAGTGTCAATACAGAAAGGTGCCATAAATCATGTTCAAATATAATATGACAGCTTGGTGTGAAAGGGTCGTAACTCCTTCTTTATTACAGTATGAGTTACAACCCTTTCGCACCAAGCCCTTTTTATTATCATGTTCATGTATAAATTTCTTTTTCTTAAATGGACAAATAGACCATTTAACCCTGTTTGGAATTTTACCTAAAAATGAGAAAAAAGTACCAGAAAACTAGGGTCCTGACCATGTAATATTTTAGTTCTGTGTAAATGGTTGATCATCATTATTCATTTTAAACATTTTTATGCTCCCCGAAAAATTTCGGGGGAGCATATAGTCGTCGGGTTGTCCGTCCGTCAGTCCGTATGTACGTACCGAATTCGTGTCCGGCCCATAACTTTGTTATTTGAAGTTGGATTTTAAAATTATTTCACAGAAATGATCACCATATTGAGACGACGTGTCGCGCGCAACATTTGGGTCGCTACCTTGAAGGTCAAGGTCACAGCATGACCTTGCAGCAAAATCGTGTCCGGTCCATAACTTCATTATTTGAAGTCGGATTTTAAAAATATTTCACAGAAATGATCACCATATTGAGACGACGTGTCGCGCGCAACATTTGGGTCGCTACCTTGAAGGTCAAGGTCACAGCATGACATTGCAGCAAAATCGTGTCCGGTCCATAACTTTGTTATTTGAAGTCGGATTTAAAAAATATTCCACAGAAATTATCACCATATTGAGACGATGTGTCGCGCGCAACATGTGGGTCGCTTCCTTGAAGGTCAAGGTCACAGCAAAATCGTGTCCGGCCCATAACTTCGCTATTTGAAGTTGGATTTAAAAAGTATTTCACAGAAATGATCATCATATTAAGATGACGTGTCATGCACAACATTTAAGTCGCTACCTTGAAGGTCAAGGTCACAGCATGACCTTGCAGCAAAATCGTGTCCGGCCCATTACTTCCTTATTTGAAGTCAGATTTTTAAACTATTTCACAGAAATGATCACCATATTAAAATGGCGTGTCTTGCGCAACATTTGGCTCGCTACCTTGAAGGTCAAGGTCACAGCATGACCTTGCAGCAAAATTGTGTCCGGCACATAACTTCATTATTTAAAGTGGGATTTTACAATTATTTCAAAGAAATGATCACCACAATGAGACATTGTGTCGTGCGCAACATTTGGGTCGCTACCTTGAAGGTCAAGGTCACGGTATGACCTTGCAGCAAAATCGTGTCCGGCCCATAACTTTGTTACTGGAAGTCGGATTTAACAACTATTTCACAGAGATGATCACCATATTGAATCGACGTGTCGCATGCAACATTTGGGTCACTACCTTGAAGGTCAAGGTCACAGCATGACCTTGCAGCAAAATAATGTCAGGCGCATAACTTCGTTATTTGAAGTCGGATTTTACAACTATTTCACAAAAATGATCACCATATTGAGACAATGTGTCGTGCACAATATTTGGGTTGTTTTTACACTTTGAACTTTGTCTGTGACATAACTCTGACACAACAAGAGGTATACCTTCCTGTGTCCAAAACCTATTCGGGGAGCATCACCCGGTTCAACCGGCTCTTGTTTGATTAGTTAGAATTGTTGTGTATGATTATTTGATTCAGTTAAATACAATATTCCCTTTTTCTGTATTGTTGAATAGGAGATATTTTATTACCAAAGTTTGTTCAAATGTCTTGTCAGTATTGAAGGTTATGACATCCTGGCAATTTTTTTTGAATATTTTTTGTAAATATATGTATTTATTATTGTTATGCAATAGTTTCAATTGAGATTATAATTGAAATGTATTCCATTGTATTTAATTATGTGTGCTATTTTTTTCCAGTCATTTCCAGTATGTATAATTTTGGATATTAGTACTTAAACACTTGAATACTGGGCTATATCTTTTGTTCATCTGTGATTAGTTTTGCTTGAAAACCTTTAAGAATTTTGTTCATTTTAAAATTGCATTGTATAATTTAGATGTCAAATATCTTTTATCAAGGTGTAACTAGGAAATCAGTGTAGTTTTTTTGCCCCTATCATAGAAGAAGATTAAACATTTCTTTTACATGAAAAAGATTATAAAGAAATATTACACATGTACTAGGAATTAAATTGAAAATCAAAATTTAGTGCGGTTCTTAGCCCAGTCTGAGTTAAAAGTGTTTAAAGGCGTTAAAGTTTCAAGGTCATGTTGGAGAATGAAATATTTCTTGAAGAATTTATTGAGCAAAAGATCTGAAAATTTGCTCACAAGCTATTGGTATATAAATCTACATCAAATGGTATAAAAGTCTTAAAAATGTTTCCAATTGTGTCATGTCAAAAACAGTGGTGGATTAATGAAGTTACAAATACGTAATTGCATGTATGAAAAATGTTGATACATTTTCTTCTTTTTTTAACGAAAATGCTATGTCAAATAATTCAAATAAAAGCTTAAGAGCAAAATTGTTTTTATATTTCGCTGAAACATTTTGACAATTAATTCTGCTATAAGAATTAGTAGAATTAAAGATGGTGTCTCCATTGTTTAATTTTTTATAGACTATCATGACAGATTAATTTTTTTGTGTATAGATAAAACCTTTTTGTGCAAAGATTAAATCTTTTTGTGTGAAGATTATATCTTTTTGTGTAAAGATTATATCTATTTGTGTAAAGATTATATCTATTTGTGTAAAGATTAGATCTTTTTGTGTATAGATAAAACCTTTTTGTGCAAAGATTAAATCTTTTTGTGTAAAGATTATATCTATTTGTGTAAAGATTAGATCTTTTTGTGTATAGATAAAACCTTTTTGTGCAAAGATTAAATCTTTTTGTGTGAAGATTATATCTTTTTGTGTGAAGATTATA